GTCGTACAATAGATTATGCACGCCTTCATTTCCACTTCCTTCCGGGCTCAGTTCCGAATTTGCTAATTGGGAAAGTGTCGGAAGGTGGCGAGCCTTTTCCATTGGTCACCTCTCTTTGGTTGCCTCATCCCTCTCTGGGACTTGGCTAGAAGAAGGGTCCGCTTGGGCGTGGTCAATTTTCCAATACGATCGACCAGATGTGGCATAGCCAAGAACAATGCAAGCATTGTCTTAAAGGCCGAGTGCGCACGTATGGTCATTGCATGTTGTCGCACGTACGGGTTTTGGGTTGTAGTAAATGTTTTGTACTCAATGCTTTACGCATATCTGATATACGTTTTGAATCTACCTTAGGGTTCTCCTGGCAATAAACACAATTAAGTTCTACTGCACTGGGAGTATGAGCACGTTTCGCTAGAATTTTCCAGATGTTTTAGGACACTAGTGCAAAATAATTATGAGCAGGAAAGTTTTGAAATCTTAAAGACAATTTTCATGATATTATTTGCCAGATGTTTTATTGCCTTACTAACGGAGTCTCTCATTCTCAAACAATGCTTCTAACCGAAAAACTTGAATATCGACTTTAATTCCGAAAAGTAATAACAAATTTACAATTTACTCTTATTTACAAATTTATAAGTAATAACAAACTTGATGCGCTATCGGCGCAGCAAGTACATACGAGAATATTTAAGGAGCTGCACTTGACTCTCGTTCTCTTACTAGTTCAATCAAGATCGACTCCACACGTAAGCTGCGCTATTACACATCTTATGAATCACTGACACACGGCTCTGTGAGTTAAGTAAGCAGCAATACCTAGACCACGGCATCATCATTGCCCTTCATCAGTGACGTCACACATCAACGTCACCACGGCGGTATCAATTCTCCTCACCAGTGACGTCACGCACCAGCGCCCCACTCAGGCCTCTCCAGCTTATTGGTAGCGGCAATCAGCGGCGTCAACACTCCCCTTTCTTCACGGCATCATTACCCTTCATCAGCGCATCTCCCACTACCACTACGAGTCCTAACGACGAGTAGGATAATCATGCGCCACATCAAGAATACACTTACAAGATTATTATCACTCATACTACTTGAAGAAACTCTCACCTATTCATTGTATCATTCATTCAATCTCACTTCAATAGACCACTGATTATTTATGATATCATTATATTCAATAGAAAGAAAACCATCTCATGCAAAGGCAGTATTGAATTATTGCATTGTCCATTCCACTTGCCAGCAAGCCTCCCTTCATCATCTTAGGGAAGCCTTTAGTCTGATCCCAGATAATGCTTAATAGTTTATTGTATGACATTGATTAATTATTGTATTACAAATATTTGGTATTATTATATTCTTTCATATTAATCAATTTTTATGCTTTCATTGTCTCTCTATCTAAATACAGTGTACATAGCTATACTTCTATCATACTTTTTTTTGTCATATTTGTCCAATTTGTATTTTTAATAAGTTAAATATAATGATGTGTTGATAAATGAGTTTTAAAATATAAATGGCTATCGATTCTGGATATTAAATATTTCAACTTTCAAAGAAAAATTATAAAATATATTAAATTTAAATTTATATTTGTTTATATCTAAAAAGTAATAAAATATACATCATAAAATATTTATAATATAAAATTTTAATAAATGAAATATTTGGTATTATTCATTATTAAAATTATTTTCTGAAATTTTTAGTTTAAAAAGAAAATTTTATATTGGAAGGATTGCATATAATATTATCAAAAATAATATTTATTTATTTAAAAGAATTTTATCACGTTTTAATAAAATTTATATATATTTATAATAAATAAATTGTATAAATAAAATTATATATTTTTTTTATGTTATATTAAAAAATTAATAATTAATATTTTTAGTTTATATTTTGATTGTGCACCAAGAATTACTGAACATCCAACATTAATATATACTTATAAGCTCAAAATAGGAGTTACTTCAATTAATAATTACGGATTATCTGTAGCTGAATTGTCTAATTTTCCACAACAGGTTTTAAAAACAGCAAGAGAAATCGCTCAAAAATTATGTAGCTCAGAGAAAGTAATTATATAACTTAATTTAATAAAAATAAGAAATTAGCATTTTCTTTAATTATTTTATTTAATAAATATTTAAAAATATTTACCTGACATTATAAAAAATTAATTTAATATAAGTATTTAAAAATAAATAATTTCTTAATATTCGTAATCGTATAATATTAAATATATTTGTATATTATTTGATTCACTCCTATTTATCTTTATTGTTATTATTAACATATTTTTGAAACTGTAATAAACAGCGATAAATAATATACTAATTCTGTTATTACAATGTTCATTCCTAAAAACGCTCTAAAATTTTTAATGAATTTTAAGTAAAGAAAAGACAAATCAAGCGACTGAAAGAAATGCATTTGCTTTTCATTTGAAACGATTTGCATTTATTATGTGTATCTTACATGACCTATATTCGGATTTGAATAGTGTACATCGTACCACTAATAAGGTATGTGCAGTATTCTAAAGCAGATACGTAATAAAGTTGCCAGCGATTCAATATCAACTATTGGTATGGTAGCAGCTTATTACTAATGTAATTCTCATGTTATGCTACTCTCAGAATACAAATTATTATATATATGTTTATACATAAAAATACGATGACAATACATATCCAATCGTGTGATATAAGGACTGATACTAGGGTTTTCGAAGTATTCGATTTTTAAGGGGTTGTTTTATGGCTCGAACTGCCAATTCAATAGTTCAGTGGATTAGTCTCTCGTCATTATGACTGTCTAAAAATAGAGTACCAGGCGAGGAGGGCCAAATATCTAAAGTTAGGTGTGAGCTCCCAGGTGTTAATAGGAGGATTGCAGGCTAGTGGATAAGATAGCACATGTATTCAATAAAGAGTTGTTTGTTTATTTAGTTATGTTTTATTGCGATACTTGCACTAGTTGTATTATAATATTTTTGTTAATGTTTGAGTGTTTGCGTTTCTTGATTTGGTATTTGTTATTGACACTGAGCGATAACGTGCGTTGCATGTACAGGAAGAAGTTGATCGTCTTGCTGGTCCTCTATATGTAATGCTCGTGTTGATAGAATAATACACGCTGAAGAACGAAGTCGTTAACTACCGCGCTTCCTTGTATATAGGCACGTGGCGTTTGCTTGAATTGCTGGTGTTTCGTGTTCTGCAGGTAGCTTTACGTATCTGCAGATTGGCCACGTATGGCTCGTTATAGTTATGTATTAATTAGGAATGGAACTTTACCTCTTAGTTCTGGCGCGTTGTGTTTTGCTATGCTTCGTATTGTTCGTTGAATTTGCCTCGATCGGCTTCTTGGTAGTTATGATTGTGTATACTGTGCGAACTGATATTCTTAGTTCTCGTTTCCTTTTTTCACTTCTGATTGTGTAAGTTTAATTATCTAACACTTGTGAATAGAATAACCTTTGCGTGATTATCTGTACTTGGATTTTCAATTGATGAATTACAATGAATTTTCATCTTCTTAGTGCGTCCAATCAGAAGTCTGCTTTAGTTTATGGTGTTTCTAATCAAAGTGCTTCTTAAGTGGTGGGGTCTTCCACCAGTACGTCTTTTCATGATGGAGGCTCCAATGAGAGCGCGTCTTGCTCAACTCTCCTCCATGACGGAGGACTTGATGCCGCGCTTTTCCCTCTCCATCCTAGTAGCGTTACATGTAATTCTTACGATCATGCGCGTTGCGTTCGGTTAGTGTTGTGAAGGTTAGGTGTAGCGTGGTTTTTAAGTGGATCATCTGGCTTTTGTCATTTGACTATTTTTATGATTTGTTTATGCCAGAAGTATTATGGCTTGTCGTCGATGGATACTTTATGGCGTGGTTGCGTCGAATTTCTCGTCGCATTAGTTTAATGACGTGTTTTCGTTAGACACTTGATCGCATATTCTCGCCGGATGAGTTTACGAGTTGTTTTCTTTAGATAATCCAAGGTGTGTATGAATTGTTTTTCTTTAGATAATCCAAGGTGTGTATAAATTGTTTTTCTTTAGATAATCAAAGGTTTGCTTTTTCCGGCACTCTTATCTCGAGTTTTCCAGATGTCTAATGATCTTGGAGTATTCTTACATTCGTGAACAATGACTGATGAGGAAATAAGAGGTGAAAGGGCTGAAATTAATTATTAGTGTATTATTATTGTGTTAAGGTATCGTTTATTTTTGTTGTCAATTATTATAATATTGTAGTTTGATTGCCTCTGGTGAGAGAAGGAAAAATACTCTATTGTTGTGGTGAGGTTACTTCTTGAGGGTGATGTTGTTAAGGCTATAGAGAGTACAATGGATCTTGAATATTGGTTTTATGCTGATGTTGTAAGGGTCAGCATTTGTAGTCGATCATACTCATGAATGAGCATGACAAGATGGTGTTGGAATCAAGTATGCTTGGTAGAAAGAATGATTGTACTTGATAGAGTATAAAATGTTTTGATGAAAATTGGTACGTAATAAATTATCTCTTTAATTATGATGGGAGCAGTAGAAAACTAGTCACACGCAAGAATTATAAATGACAAGTCTTCTCGCTCTGAAGGACTTGATGAAATATATTTATTGTCGATTATTCTATAAATTGTTGTCTGAATTTAACAATATAATTGACATGTTGTATTTTGTCTGTTTGAGGGACTGCACGGTCTTCAAAGTTTTAGTTCGAGAGAGCGTACTGTATTACCTGTCGACTCTTTGAGGGACTGCGTGGCCTTCGAAGTGTTATTTCGAGAGAGCGTACTCTCTCACCTGTATCGACTCTTTGCATAGAAGGTATATGAAACTTGATTTGCGCGTCGGTGACTAGCTTGTTTAAATAATATATAGAGATGTACCTTGTAAAATATAGACAAGATATGTTGATTTGCTGCGTAGCTGGTGTGCCCCTTTTTTATTACGATTCCAATTGGCTTCACTGTAGAATCACTACCTGATCTTGCTGATTCTGTTTAATAATGCACGTGTATCTTTAGATTGGCTGCCGATCATGCGGCCACGTGTAGTCGTCACAGTTTATACTAAAACACTGAGTGGTAATTACAGATAAGTGAACGCGAGATAGAATTACAATGAGCATCGCCGCATGGTGAGTTGCTCTTAAATATGCATGCAGCAGGATGCAACGCCAGCAACAGTGCCTCTACTAAAACGATAGGCTGAAAACTTCTTTGTGGCGTTAGAAGCCGAAGCTTCTAGAAGATTCATAGGCGTTCCTTTGTGTGATCTTGTAGTATATTGGATTTCATATCGTAGAACGTGCTAGGACTCATTGTCAAAATAAAATACATAATAACTAAAAGCGATAATTTCATTAAAGAGTAAAGAAATGGATAAAAGCGAACACATGAGAATGAATAAGTAAAATAATAGAATAATCAATAGAATCATATTATATGAAGTAAAAGTAAAGTTGAAGTAAAAGTTAACGGGAAATAGAATACGTTGGTGCCAAGAACTTTATTAGATCCTTCTCAAAAGATATAAAAATGATTAAAGATAGATATTAAATTCTGTATGTTAATAAATTACAGGATATAATGAAAACTAATCATAAATATAATTTAAAAATTAATTTAGAAACTAAACCAACTGTAAATATTATTATATTATAAAATTTATTTATGAATATTATATTGGTGATACAAAAAATCCAACTGTTCAAGACTGATATAATAAATTCAAATACAAAGAAGAAAAATGATAAATAAAATTATATATATATATATATTGTTTAGAATTAGACTATTTCCAAGTTTCCAAGTTTCCTTGGTTGTTACCATGTGGTGTCAATTTACACTACTTGTAGAGGTAGGAGATCGTAAATCTCCGGATCCTCTTGATGCGGTGCGCTTGGTTGTGAAGTACGACACTGAGAAATGAAAGGTCGTAAATTTCTTGACACTTCTTTGTATAGTGCCACGTGATGATAATTTGATTGCTCGTCTCCTCCAAGATGTCTTGTGGTGTGGAAGGGTTAGGAAATGGTTCGATACCTTAAGGTGGCATCGAATGGTGTTACTTACAGACTTGTGGAAGCAACCAGTTGACAGAGTGCCGTTGGCATAGAGTATGAATGAGTCTTGAGAAAGTGCATATTGGCACTGAGTATGAGCAAGTGAGCGTTGGCACAGAATCCTTGAGAAAGTGTACTTTGGCACTGAATGAGAAAAGCCTGCAACAGCTTCGTACTCTTGGACACTATGTATGCGGTTCAACGTTGAGTAGTTGTATGAAACTGTTGAGTATACCTTCCGTAGTGGCTCTGCTGAGAGAGTGTGCGATGGCCCGAGTGACTCGTTCTTGGCTAAATAGCTCATGGCTGACTAGCGCCTATTTCGTGGTGTGCTTGCCTTAAATATCCATGCGGCAGCTTTGTTAACTGACAATAAGGAGGCGATTGTGGTGCTTGAAACAATGGATTAGATTGCTGTGCTAGAAACAATGAATGCGATTGTGGTCATAGAAGCAATCGTTGCAATTGTGCACTTGTTTTTCCGGAACATCAACGACCCTTGGAGGATTTCCCAATAATAGTAACCGCTGGAGTTTTTTCCCGAAATGATGGCCGTCAGGGGTTGTCCCCAAAATGATAGCCGTGAGACTTTCCCAGAAATTATATTATTCGAGAAATTCTCGGAATCTCGAACATATATATTTAACTTAGCTGTAGAGGAACGAATCATTAATCAAAATATTAATGGTCACTTTAAAATTTTTGGGAAAGCCAAAAAGTTAGAAAAGCACATAACAGAATCATACCAATGAAGTGTATTTCTTTCATTAACTTTGTTGGGTGTTAAAAAAAATACTAATTGTTGGATTGTTGCGTATATTAATTATCTCAATATATTTTTTAATTTGATAGTTCCTTTATACTAATTCAGTTATTTACCACATTCATACAAATTGAAATCTAATAATAGTATACGATACGAGTAAGAGTAAGAAATGTTTCTTTATAAGTTTCACGATATATGTATTCTTATTTCTTTAATATCTATTTACAATTTCTTTCTGTTCGATATGATGTTATAGTTTTCCTGGTTCGAACTTCCAATGTTTCAATAGCTTAATTTGCCGTGCGCCCTGGCAAATGCTCGGGAAGGAGTTAAGTGGAAGGACTGTAGAAATGTCGTGGGTTTTGATCAATATATGATTTATTTTACAATTTATAATACAATTACATGTTGGTCTCTTGGAATCACAAGTTCAATATGAAGATGCGATTTCTTGGAACGTTTCTTGTGATGGATGTTTCACTACACAAGATGCTCCTCGAGATCGTGATGTTGATGTTGATTTTGTAAGGATCAGCAATTGATTATGCACACTCCTTATTAGTGAGTGTGATGTACTATTAGTAATAGCATCATGCCAGTTTTGTAAGGACTGGCAATAATTTATATCGCACGGACTTTCACCATGATTCACGCTCCAAATGTGGGAGTACGTGCTCGGTAGTTCGCTCCTTTCTTGGAATGAAGGTGAAAGCGTTAACGCCTTTCAACTGTAATACAGGAGGATTGATGTATCTGGTCAGCGGCTCACGCAAAAATTTGATCGCTAGTTTTCACCGATAAGTAAGAGCTCCCTTCTGACTTGGCTTTCCCACACCAAGAGTGTCTCCGGCGGCAGAGCCTTCAAATGGAAGACTCGCCCGTCTCCGGGACTTAGTGACGGGAGGGGGTTCTTTGTCAAGCGTCGCCGCTTGGCCTATGCAAGTGGCAACATTTGGCGTACTTGACAACAATGTATACCTTGCCTCGTAACATTGACGGCACATGTGCCGAAGATTGCTCGATGTCGCATATACTGGGTTTTAGGTTGCAATGAATTTTAGGAAATGTTTTTCACTCGATTGTTTTCAAATATTTTAACTCTCGAAATATTCTCGCATAAACAAACTCGAAGCGCTCTTGCTAGTAAATAACAAAGGTTGCTTATTGCGCTAAAAACAATGACTACGTCTGTAGTGCGAAGAATAATAGAAAGTGACCGTTCACGAGTATTTTGCAGATGTACTAACATTTTCGAGCCTCCAACGATCGTGGGATTCTTTCTCAGAAAATGATGTCCGTTCAATATTTTTTTTTATGGTAGCCGTTGGGATTTTTACCGTTGAAATTTTTTACCTTGGTATTTTTCCTAATAGATAATATTCGAGAGATTTTTCTCAATATCGAACATCTCTATTAATAATTTTTTTTACTTCACCAAACGAACTTTTTTCATTACAATTTATTCCTCATTTTTTAATGGCTTTTAATAAAAAAACATATAAACATTTATTTTCCTATATCATAAAAGTAATATTGTATTAATTTTTTAGGATAATTATACATTTCGAAGAGATAAAAAACTACAACAATTGGAAAAATGTTATTCTTTTATTGCAGAATTATATAATTTAATTTTAATTAAACAATTTACAGTGAAAACTATTACCAAATTACTAAAAGATTTTTTCAATTCTGAATTTATTTATGTAACAGAAAATACACGACTGGAACAAAAATCAGTATTTTTTAAAGAGATAATGAATACAAATAATTTATGGACTGAAAAAAAATTTTTTTTTAAACAACTATTGATGCTTTCAAATAATTTATACAATATAAAAATTTTTAATTTGAAACAAGAGAAAAATTCTGATAATATGATTCATTATAATAATTTTAAAAATTTAGAATTTTTAAAAACATATTTGGAAAAGTTAGCTTTGGTACATAAAGAAAAAAAAATAGATTCTAGAATAAAATTTGCATTGGCAAGTGATCTTACAAATGAAATTACAACTAACATAAGAGATTATATATCTCTTAATCCATATTTACCGTTAATAAAAGAAAATTTTCTAAGTAAAATATTTAAAATATCTGTTAAAAACAAATCTAATTATATATTACATCAACAAAAGAAATTTAATGTATACTTATTTTATAAACATTTATTAGATATGAATTTAAATCTTTATATTTGATAAGTTTTAATTTTAAATATTTTTAATTCGTTCTTTTACATTATCCATTAGTTTATAACAACAAAGTATAGATAAAATAAAATAAAAAATCCTTTGTATTTTATAATGTAAAAATTGATATAATTATTGCAAGCTTTTTTTATAAATTCTAAGTCATTTTTACATGAATTTATCAGCTATAATTTTAAGTAGTTTCAACATGTTTTTCTAAAAATGCATGTTAATAATACTTTGAAAGATATAAATTTATTTTCTAAATAATTGCTAAAGTTGCTATAATAAAATTAATGATTAAATTGTTTGTATTTTTAATTCAATACGAATATTTTAATTTTCAATTCAGTAACTTGTTATTTTCCATATCACAGTATATAATCTTTATTTATATATATCCATATATAAGTTTTATAATTGAAGACAATTATCAACGTGTCACTTCTCATTTTAGTTTTTAAATACAAATTTTGCGGTTACATAAAGTTACGTTAGAATCTAAAAAAAGAAATTCGATCAAATCTTAATAGTAATTTGTTTATAATCAATACAAAATTATGATTTGTGATATTCTTCGTATTATTATATTGTTAGAATTAAGCAATTTTTAATTAATATAATGCTTTATAAAAAATTATACCTTATACATATAGATGTTAGTGAACAATTTTTTACAAGTATATAACAATTTTAAATCTGTATATCATAATATTGTATCAAAATCAAAATATAATATCATCATATATCATAAAGTAAAGTAGATCTTCTCTTTACTAAATAAATCATTTAAATGATCCAATAAAGGAATTTTTTGTGTTTGTAACAATTAATATGGTCAGGTTATAAAGATATATAAAATGATCCGTTTTTATAATTCAGTAACGAAATATTATAAAGAGTAATTTCTTATTAAAATGATCAATACATTTTTTATGTAAACAATCTTCAAACAGTGTTAGTGGAATATATAAAACTTCAAATATATTTTGATAGTTATATTTTAGAATGCAGAAGTTATTATATAAAGATATAATGAAAATATTACAATTATGTAATTCAATCAAAATAGAGCATAATACATCTTCAATAGTAAAAAGATATGTAAATAATCATGATTTAACATTAAATAAAAAATCAGTAAAAAATAAAAAATATTACAAAATAGTGATTATTTTAAGAATTTTTTCACGGTTAACTATTTTATCATACTTTAAATAGCTCTTAAATTAAGTAAAGTAACTTTAAACATTTGAGAATATTTTAGTTTACATATGTTAACCATATATACATCATTACTAAATAAATACATTCCTAATGCATAAGCAACTTTATACTAATAGACTATACATTAAAATAAAGTTATTATTAGTGAAGTAATAGACAAAATTTAGAAATATAACTAGATTTGTTCCTATAAATGGAAAGAGAGCCGTTTGAGCATTAATGACAATTTTACTTACAACTTGCATATACAATAACTCTATAACATTATGTGTTCTGAAACATATAGACATAACAGTGCAAATTATAATAAATATATTTAAAAAATATTCAAACAAAAAATTATTTACTTTAAATAAATTTATAATTATTTTTTAAAGTCAGAACTCACGAAATTCCGTGTTTGGAATTATATTTTATAACTTAATGTTTTATATGTTACTATATTTTATAACTTGAAAATTAATGTTTTATCTATATAGGCATATGCAGATTTCTGTTTGATCTAACGTTTATATTTTAACTGTTAGAGAATAAAATTAATTATTAAATTTTATTTAATTAATTATTATTATTTTATTAAATTAATATTTTATTGAAATATAGATAACAGAAGAAATCTTCCATTTTATTTTGGTTTTATAAAAAATAAGTCAATACAATTTAAATTGAAAATAAAATTATAATCGATTATTTAAAAGCCAATGTTCTTTATTTTTTATATAATTAAATTTGCAAATTTGTAATTTACAATTTGTAGTGAAAAAAAATATGTAATGAGTGCTTTTGTACTTTATATTAATAATATATGTAAATAAATATTAACGCATGCGTATTTCAATTTGAAATGGATTGCACGAAATAAAAATATTTTAAACTAGTTATTTTTTTACTATATTTTTTCTTCATATTTTTTTTTAAAATTATTACTAATATTTTAGAAAAGCTATATTTATACATAGTAGATTGAGTACGATGTATTATACGAACATTGGTTATATAATTAAGTTAAATGGTTATAAAACGAGTTTAATTACGAAGTTTTATACCCAAATATAAACAAAAAATTAGAATAATTTTATGAATTTTACAAGAAGCAAATATTGTATCATAAGATATATCACAACATGAAGTAATAATTAAATTTAATATATTCATCTTATTTTTTATAACAAAATGTGTATCACATGCAGAAATATATATATGCGCATACGGTCGTGCGCTCACCTAAACAAATCCGACAATTTAAGAAAATCTTAAATGAAATTTAGAAAACAATTAATCTTGTATAATAATTAATTTTTTAATATTAGTCAAATAAAATAGTAAAATAAATAAAGGTGAGTTATTTCTAAATTAATCTCAATAGAGTATTTTATACAGTTACAGTAGGATATGTAAAAATAATTTTCAATTTATTTTAATTTACTGGATATCACAACTAAATATGCATATAGTAATATGTACATAAACTGAACTTATTTGTAATTAAAATATGTTATTGAATCTGTTTTAATATATTTAAATATGAAAAAAAAAATTTTATAACATTAAAATAATAAATTAAGTCGGAGTAAATTTATTAAAATTTAATACTCAATGTTCTGACTTAAATTATCTTTATAAATGTATCTATTTATCTTTACTTTTATTAATCAAGGATATATGCATTGATAAATTAATATTTGTAATATCGATGTATGAATTAAATAATATGTATCATAAGGGATATATTTATAATAATTCTTTATTTAATATCACCCATATTGTAATATTACTGTATGCAATATTTTCAATATATAACTTGTTTTACAATTATATATACATACAAACATGTTTTTTTGTTTTATAAAAATTTTTATTCAGAACCTTGGATTAATTATAAATAAATATTTTTAAACAAATAAAATGCATTATATATTTTTAAACAAATAAAATGCATTGTATAATTTTTTTTAAATAATGTACAATACTTTAAAAATAAAATTAGTGAAAATTTTTTTTTATATTAAGTAATTAATGAATGGAAAACTTATCTTGTGTAGTACTTATTAAGTATGTTATTTTTAATTTATATTTTTAATTTCCTTTTTATTATGTAAGAATTTACAAATTATATAAGTTGCCATTAAGGTATGTATTGATACTTTTTTTATTTAAAATTATTTTAAGATTTGAATAAGCAATATTTTTACAAAACTAACAAAAATAAAGTTTTTTTAACACAATAATTTCAATTTGACTGCATAGATATAATAAATTTATATTTCTACAGACCATATTAGAATGTCAAATTTGATCCCAGTAAAAAGTTCGTATATACATTCACTTTTGAATGATAATATAACAGCTCAATTAAATTTAACTGAAACTTCAGAAAGAGTAAGGTAAGTTGCTCATAATTATATTTGATTCATGCAGATAATTACTTAAAATAATAATGGAATAAAAAAATTATATTGCTGACAAAAAGTAGATATATATTATTATAGGTATATATTTACAATATTCATAACTAACATATATAATAAATTCATAGCCTTGAAAAGTTGTTTTACAAATTACTAGCAATTAGAATATTTTGAAGCAATAGTTAATAAATATATTTGTATAATAAATTGAAATGTTGACTTAAACCAAAAAATACTTAAATTTTTAAATATATCTTTAGTTATAACTTTTCTATCTTACAAATTTTTTAATAATTTATTTACAATTTGGATATTTTGTCATTTATAATATTGATGGTATGAAAGCTGAAGAGATTTAAATGATTCAATATCTATTTTAATACTTCACAAATTTTGAAAGTATTTAAAAATTTGAATGCCATAAGTGTTGATCTTTGAAGAATAAAAGTAAGAGCCAAGAAAATATTGTACATTTAAAATATGCAATTCATCTTTTAACTAAATTTATATCTTTTTATTATTTAATTAAAGTTAATCAGTATATATGATATTCATTATACTACAATTTCTTTTATATAAATTTTAAAAAATTACCAATTATATTAAGCGTTTTCTAATAAATTATTATAATATTTTTTATTGTACATATAATAATTATAATATAATTTATATTTCAAATTATGAATTGAAAAATAGGGATGTAACTACATGCAAATTGGTAATATTTAATTTTACAATAATTAAAACATTTATTTGATATTTGGTTAGATTGCATTATTGATTAACAAATTATTTTTCTAAAACATATTCATTCAATAATTATAAAGAAATAGAATTACTACAGTTATAGAATAAAATATATTTGGACAATATTCAGCTATTGAAATTTAATATAGTCATTATTAATTAGATATATTTATACTATTAAAAT